GCAGCACCCCAGCTGCTCTGCCCCAGGCGTCCCCAAGTCAGCTTTTGCTGAAACTGACCAGCGCTGACTACAGGAAGCCCGAGGCAAAGTTGCTCTGCCCCGGGCTTCCTGGAATCAGCTGCTGATCAGTTTCAGCAGCAGCTGACTTGGGGACGCCTGGGGTTCTTAAGTTGATTCTGTATGTAAGTCAGAACTGGTGGTCAGTTTCAGCAGTGTCTGAATCTGGACGCCAGTTCCGACTTACATACAGATTCAACTTAAGAACAAACCTACAGTCCCTATCTTGTACGTAACCCGGGGACTGCCTGTATTGACAAAAAGAGGATGCTCTTTAGCCCGGGCAGGACCCAACAGGAGTCATTACTAGACACACAAATTACAAATGCATACACAAGGTCACCAAAATAAACCAGACTCTTGCTACTAAGCTGCTCAATCACACATACATACTTGAACAATATCCATCAACAGGCCAGCGGCCACCATGCCCAAACCAGCCAAGAGGAATGGCAGGAAGATCTGGGAGACAATGGAGAAGGACGTCTCTGGGAGAAATCCATTAGCCGACTTCGTCAGCTTGCAGGTGAAACCTCTCAGTTTTTTCCCATGGAAGCATAGCTCCAGTTGTAGCTGGGTAACCACCATGGTCAAATGCCTTAACCCATATTCGACAGGCAAATGAAAGGAAAAAAAAGCCAGGAAATCACAAAGATCACGCTCCGAGGTGTTTGCTGCACAGTCTCAAGGCACTTCTCCCCACCTTCAGCAATGACACCACAGTCCTTTGGTTTCCTCTTCCTCTCCACCTCCTCCCTTCCAGCGAACTCACAGTCAGCTTATCTTCCAAAATCAGCTTGACTTGGCTTGAGCTCAGACTGCAAGGAGCCTCATGGAAGCTCTCTCACCATGTTGCCTCCCAAAGAATTTGAGAGAGAAGCAAGGAAGATTGCTGAGATGTTTGTGGACAAATACTGATGACTGCACCCCTGCTCCAGCTTCTTCCAGCTCAGCAAAAACCAGACAGACCTGCTCCTCAGGCCATGGCATTAAAGTCTCTGCGCAAAGAGTGATGGGTCATGCAGGAATTCCTCAGTGTACTCAAAGGCACAGATGTCTTCTCTTCTTAGGTTAAATTTCTTCCCAGAACATGGCTTGCTTTTGATGCAATGGTTTAATATATAAGCTGGTGCTGAAGTAGCCCCACAATGTGGGGCATTGAACTTTTCTCCAACTCCAAGGGGTAGGGCAATTAATATCCAGGTTTTCATGTAGCTTCCCTCAAGGTCATCAAGAGCAGGAGTCCACGCCTGTTACAACCACGGCTATTTCCCAGCTCCCATCGGGAAAGGCAGCAAAGCTGTACTGGCTGTGAAAGGTTGTTTGCTCCATCTAGCCTGCTTTTTGCTCCCTTCCCCCCATCTTGTCTGTGGTGTACAAGCTCAGGAAGGAATAATCAGATTATGCCGGCTGCATCTCTGAATGATTGACTTAAAAAAATTCCACAGAACCAATCAATGAGCTTGAAAGAGGAACACTCTTATCAGCTCTCATCACGTCAACTAGCAGCTCGCTTGCAAAGGCCAAGATAAAAGTCACAGCAAGAGCTTATTTAAGGTAGCGCTATAATCTTAGTGACCATGGGAATAAAGGAAAAGTTTCCACAGCTAATACATTATGCTCTTTCACGCCGTGTCCAAAAGCTCAATGCGGCATTGCTGCATGCTGCAGGCTAGCTCTTGTGGCTTCGCCTCCATGCTTCCTGTTTAAAGATACATGGCCAAAGTCACCACTGGCGTCAGTGTGGTTACACCCATTTATGCCAGTTAATTTGTATAATTCTTTGCAAAGATGGGCCTAAACTGTAAAGTTTGAATTTAGATCCAAACTTCTCCAAAATTAGGCAAGGTGGGTTGATGGAGAGTGTTTTGTCAGGGCTCCTCTGTGACAAGAAGGATTAATTTCAATCAGCAAAAGGAAACCTTGATTTAAATCATTGATTTTAATTGTTTTAAATGTGTACTTAGTTATTTTCTTGAAGAAAAGTTGATTCTCATTGATAGATAACTATTAAAGCATGTTGTTTTGCAACTAAATATTAGGGATGTGAAAATGTATCCATGTATCCTAGATGAGCATTTTAGGCTCACTGGTTAACCATCACAGTTACATGCAACCCCCTCCCCCTGCTACCTCTGTATCAGAGGCAGCTAGGAGGAGGGAGGTGGGAGTGGGTGCGCAAGGGGAGCTGGTTTTCAAGCTGGCTTCCCATGCGTACCAGCCCTGCTGGAGCTGCTGCTCCCCCCCACCCTCGCATTGCTGCCTCTGAATCAGAGGGGGGGAGGGAAGGGAGGCGGAATCATGTATGCATGGGGAGCCGGCTTCCATGGAGCTACCTCCCCCCTTCCACCCATGCTGCTGCCTCCCACAGAGGCTTAAAAGCCAGCTCCCACCTGCCCACCTCCCCTCATGTGCAAACGTGTAACTGCTGAACATTTCAGTGGTTACATGTTTGCAAAAATAATCACATTTTAATATCCCTACCAAATGTAGCCTTTATTCTAAATTTAGGGCTTCTTTCTCCTATCCAGGTACTCTATAGATCTATACACTTATTAAAGAATTATATAGTTTAATGTACAATATTACAATTCTTCATTTTGATATTTTTATTATTTTAGAAAATGGCAAATGATTAATTTCTTATTCACTAGATGGTGATTAACTTTTTTTTTTACTTGTGCTTTGTGTCAAGCCCTATTTGGATGGAATTTCAAATTCAATTAAAAATGCACAAAACAACATTTTATTTGTTTTAATTAAATAGATGTGTTGGAAACATAACACAAAGCATTTACAAAGTTTATCAAAACATGTTTTGAATTTAAAACCAAGCAATTTATTAAACAAAGGAAGTATTATCAGTAGTTAATAAACTGAATCAAATATCTCTGATCACTGTAGCCTTCAAGATTTCAGAACTAGTATATCTCATCCTCGCACATTTATTTTTCACTTCCAATTTATGAATAAAAATTAGCAACCTTCCCTTCTTTATCAACTCTGAACAGGCTTCTTAACTTTGAATGAACGAGTCATGGAACTGAACTAGTTGTATAAACTAAAATGAAGAAAATATTCTCTCTGCTGCTGTGGAAAAGACTACTACATCAAAAGCTGGCTCAACACATAACTCTGCTTGCAGGTGCTTATCTAGTGGTTGCCACCAGTTCAGTGGTTTCTTTCAAAGTTGGCAGCAAATATTTATTACTGAATATTTTTTTTGCACTTACTTTACATTATTTTAATAGATTATAATGTTTACATTTCAAATTAAATTTTAAATGAGTTATTCAAGTCTAAACTTGTATTTAATTTAAATTTTAAAAATCTGATTTCAATTTGAAAAGTCTTGGTATTTTTAAATCTTCTTTATACCTACCCTTCTTTGTGATAATTTGGATTACATATTAGAGTCTTGGGAGTCTAAAGGTTCTATATGAGTTATTTGCAATTACAGAGGATCTGGGCAACCTGTGGAATCTGAAATTAGATAGCAAGCTATTCACGGATCAGTTGCTGGTTTAAATTCAGCCAGCAGGTAGTGATAGAAATTGCTGTCTGTTTGGTGGCCAGTGCAAAGAGTGTGTTTGTCTCAGTCTAGTTCCTAGCATTCAAAATCAACACTGAAAAACCATCATTACTATATTTGGTACTAGACAGACTCTTAATGGGCATTCTCAGCAATGAGACTTGAGGGCACATGGGCCATGAACTCTGAACTAGTATTTGTCTTCAGAGCTAATCACACTGGCTGGAAATATGGATACTTACCCCAATCTTAGACTCGATAAATGTGTGTGTTTGTATGAATTTATGGGGTTTGGCCGTGCAAGGATCTCCCTGTAAGTGAGATAAGCCACAAAGCAAGATCCCTGACTCCGGATTCCTGATTCAGTCCTCTGCCTCTCCCCGAAATGATGCACTGCAGGGAGGTGGGAAGCAGTACCCTCAAAGCCAATGGGATTTTTGTCTCCAACAGCAGCACATGGTGGCTGTCAGGAAGCAAAGAAGGGAGGTCATTTCAAACCTCCCTGTTGGAGGAGAGCTCAAAGGGACAGGAACAAGGAAGACTAAACAAAGACGCTCTCTCCAATGCCCACAAAATGGGACTCATGAAACAGTCTGCTACCCACCAACAACTTCAAGGTAACAGGATGAAGTTCCATCCAAGATCTTCAAGTGAGTAATAAATGCAGAGCTAGTTCTAGGTAGCAACCTCACAATTTCTGGGGATTGATACCATGTAAGCAGATAATCTATATGCCCAGTCCTAAAAAGTCTCATTCACAGGCAAAAGCATTAGTATAAGGAAAGTATCAGACTGTTTGAAAGACCCAGGTGCCATGAAGGGACATACAGTAAAACTCCGATGGTCCGGCATCTGACAGTCCGGCACTCTTGATGGTCCGGCACCATCAGGAATCCGGAAGTGCTCCGGGCAGCCGGACCATTGGAGCTCGGCCGCTGCTAAAACTGCCCAGCGGCTGACTCCAGGAAGCCCAGGGCAGAGCAGCTTTGCCTCGGGCTTCCTGGAGTCAGCCTCTGATCAGTATCAGCACTGTCTGACTTGGGGACACCTGAGGCAGAGCAGCTGGGGTGCTGCCGGGTTGGTCCAGTAGCGCCGAGGAACGGCGTTGCGGGACCAACCCAGCAGCACCCCAGCTGCTCTGCCCCAGGTGTCCCCAAGAGCAGCCAGGGTGCTGCC